TCCGAAATTTGACGGTTTTTGTTCAATTTCGCCATATTTTCGGACCGCCAAAATTTCGGTCGTCGCAAATTAGGCCGCCATAAATATGTCTTGTAAGGTAATTGATGCTTACTAGATCAGACTTTACGGTGGATGATAATCCATTTGCAGATCTTGTTTAAATCTCTAGCTATCCGTACCTCTAGCCATTTGTTTTATTAGTAGCTGTTAGCTATTCCAGTTATTTCTATTCATTTAAAATATAAGCCTTTTTACTTGGTCAAGCCATGAATGACAGATTAAAAAACTAAAATTTCAAATATTATTTCACTTGGATATGAAGAAAAAGCCATCTTTCTATAGATTTCAGGGCCACATGCCAAATGCCAAAAGTTTGGTTAGCAAAAAATTTAGCAGACGGAAAAGATTTATGCAATTAATTTGGTCTGCAAAAAATTTGGGCGAGAGGCACGCTCAAATTTTTTGTCGCCCAAATTTTTGGGAATTAAGGTATCATCTTCAGAATTACACCAAAAATTGTTAGCTTATATATTTTCGTCAATTTCCGAACTACGACGAAAATTTTCGTAACGAAATGTTCTTCCCAAACATTTTCTAATTTTTATTTCAATAACCGCTCTGCTTCACTTACTCATAATTATTAATAAGTGCGAAAAAAGCGGAAGCGAAAGTTAAGGATACGAAGCTGTACAAAAACCCAGACCGATACTGGAAAAACTAGAGATCCTGCTCCAAATTAAATTTTCTATCAAATTCAATTTGTGTCCAACCTTCATCGAGCAAATACGAACATTCTGAGTATCTCTTCCAACAGATATTTCGACCGATAAGAAACAATTACAACCATTTGTTATAAGCGACGAATAGCTTCGCAATCATTTCAATGGCTACAATGGCTATTTGTTGCAAAGTTACACCTTTTAACACGGCTTTTTAGCTTGACCTACAAGTATGTCTTCAGTTCTCAAACAAGACCTCTAATTAAATGGTCTTTTAATCAAACATCGTTACAACATCAATTCATACCTAAAGGCCTTTAATTAGCAATCAAAAGGGAATGATAGCAAAAACTACTGAAATTTCCATAAAAATATAGCAGTACAGGAAACTATGCTGTAACTCATATGTAACTTACTTACAAGCCTTGGAATAGGTGTACACGGCACGATCCGTGTCATCTAATCATGACTGTATCGTGGGAGGGGAAGGTTTGGGATCCAATTATTACGGTCACACCCTGACTTATAATCACCTTACCAGGGACGACGAGCTGTGGGGAGGCAGCAGCAGGGTCCGTGTTTTACAGTGCCAGAACTTGTTTCACAGACCGATTTGACTAAACTCATGATCTTGCAGACACGGAAATAATGCAAGGTAAACTTTTAGCGATATAATAAAATTTCGAAACGAGTTTACTAATATAAAGTGCATGCATGTACCAAGTTAACTTTTAGATATAACAATACAAATGATAATATGCCGTAAATGTGACATTTAAATGAAGCTTTACCAATATCTTAACGTCAAAATTCACAACTCTAACTCCGTTATAAACAGTTGGAGCCAGTTGGATCCTGGTGACAGGATACAAAGCCTACGTCTAGCCGCCAGGTTATGCCAGAACTCCTGCCCTCACCCCAGCTGAAGCTGACTCGCCCATTTAATTTCAATCGAAGGTGATCTATTGACAATATGTGTCATTGCTTGGTAACTAAAAACGGCGTCTACTTGGTCGCGCAATAATTCCCGCACTGATTTTTATAGTTCTTATGCTAAACATGCTGCGAATTACCACGTTAAGCGTCGCAGGGTATCAGCTCGGCAACATGACGGTATAGGGCTGATTGTAACTGAGTCTAGACAAGACAGATAAACAAGCTCTCTCTCTCTGGTGGACGGTTAAGATATAAAAAACATGATATTAGACGAATCCAAAGATTTATAATTTGAAAGATAATACCAACACTTTGTAAGTTATTGTAATTCTTAACGTATGATTATTGTTGACGGGTAACACAAGGATGACAGGATTATAAATTAGAAGTTTTATAAACGTATGATTATTGTTGACGGGTAACAAAAGGATTACAGGATTATAAATTAGAAGTTTTATAAAACTGTAATATAAATATTACAATCGTAATCGTGCAATCCGGTAAAATACTTCAAGTAGAGTATTAGAGGGTAATTAGAGGGTAGAGTATTAGAGGCCAGACGTCCGTAGTATTTGAAAAGCCACTGCTGCGATGTTATCTTCTTACACAAAGTTTATCGCTCGTGCGCGGCACCCGACTACCATGAGCCTAAACGTATAATTATATAGAGGCATTCTTTAAATCTTTTCTATCCTGTTATAGGACAGAGAGGAGACGAGACGCACTTCGGGTAATGAAGGTCGTGTTGACTAGAATCTGGACAAATTTAGTCCTTTGGGTAGCAACATTTATTACCCGAAGTACAGCTCCTTTCTGTACAACAGGATATTGAAAAATATTTGGCAGTATCGAGATAGCCCGACCACTGTCCGCGGACAATTGTCCGCGAACACCTGTCTACCAGATCATATTACTGCATAATAACAGTATCCCCTGAATCAAGCAGGGTTCACATCATCCATTAATTTCGTCCATTAGACAGAAGAGTACCATGTCAGGAATTGGAATATTTGTTGTTGTTGTTGATGATGGCAACTGATAATCCTTAACCAAAAACGAACGACTTATATACCACATTTTAATCGGAATCATTTATTTCATTGAGCAATCAATATTATATTTATATATATATTTATATTATTCGTAACTAATCGTAACTAATTATATCCGAGAGACCACATTTGAATCGTAATCAATAGTTTGATCCAGTAATTTACTACGCTACAATTAATTATGCTAGTCGTAACTAATTGCATCCAAGATACCATACATACCATTCATATGATCTGGTAACCAATCAACTATTCACAAACACCTGTTGATTGATTCAGGGGATACTGTTATTATGCAGTAATATGATCTGGTAGACAGGTGTCCGCGGACAGTTGTCCGCGGACATTGGTCGGGCTATCTCGATACTGCCAAATATTTAAAGAATATTACAATCGTAATAGTCCAAACGACATAATATTCGTAATTGGTATTATACGAATATTATATCGTTTGGACTATTATATTTTACTATATATATAACAAAATATAACAAGAAGTTCAGTAAGATCGGCCGTCAATTTCATATTATATGTTATGTCATATTATGCTGTTCAGTTTTTGTACCTAGAGGCCGAGGAGTAGAAAAAGTATAAGAGTCAAGAGTGACAGACGCAAGTGAGTCTTACTCTGGTGGGAGATTGGTCTGACATTTGAGTCAATGCTGAATATTTTGCAAAATTTCTAGAAACAAATTGTGCGACGATTCATGTAAGATGGGTCAGGGTTTCACTAAGGAGCAATTTTATAAAATGATAGGAATAATAGGATGGATCGGTGAGATTGATGTGGTCCAAATTCAGGAGATTAGTTGGTAAATATGCTATCGACTTTGGAGTTAAAAATTGTTTAGGATTTTTATAGCGACAATGTCGCAGTTATTAAGGAGGTATAGCTAATTTTCTACTTCATTTCCCCGGTTGTATAATTCGCACCGAACACAAGTTCTTTCTGGCAGTAACCGAGGTGTCCTATTTCTCCTGTGAATTTCTAACCGATGTGCATTGGCGTGTAGTCTGGTGAGACTGAATCTCTCGAAATAACTTTGGATTTTGATAAGTTTCCTTGGAGAACTCATTTTTGACTTTTCCATAGAATTCTAGTTTGCTCGATGTGTTGACATTAGAGCACCAGGACTGGTTAGAGTTTGTTTTGGATGATTTCATGATGATGTGTGCTGTAAAGTGCTTGCTCTCATGAGGTGTTACTGTTTCTGAAGTCATTGTGTCAGAATCAAAAATTAAATCAAATAATAATGACACAAACATCACCACACGTCATCAAAAATATTTCTACAAAAATGTATAAAGTGTAGTAAGAAATCTTCCTTATTTGGATTTGATATGTTTTTAAAAGTGTTTTGGAATGAAAAGTTTGGGTTACTTTTGTTGGGGCTGAGCTTTTTGTGCAGTGACATGGTCAGCCGAGAACCGGGGATCAACCTGTAAAATCGGTTCCATACCTTTACCAGTACAGATTCCACTCCTTCTGTTCTAGGAGTGCTAATCTTACCTAGGGGTCTTCATTTAGTTTTTCAAGTCGACTCATATGTTTCATGGTTAAGTTACTCACAACTAAGTGGGTATCTCCCAGGCCAGTTTTCCCCATACTCCACAGTTGGTAGATTTATATTTATGATTAACCCCAAGAGCTCATTTAAGGAAGTGAGGATGCACCTTTGTACAGTTTAGAACTCTTAGTTTCTTCTATACTTATAGTGATGTGTGAGAAAAGCCAATGTTATCAGAAATTGTGGGTGAGGACAGGATCTAGCGCCAAGAGGATTAAGTCATCTGCCCAAATTATTTGTGGCTAATTATCTGTTGCGCTCATTTTCACTGGCTTTATAAACGCGCTCCGCTTCTTCTACTAAACGTAGTTTAGCTGCTTGGGTAATGCACGTTCCAGTATAAGTCTGCAAAGAAGTTTCCAATATTCATACTATAAAACTTGGATTTTTTTCCCTGCTCTTGCCAAGGGCAAAAAGATCGTAGGGAATAAGTAATCGGGTTTGGATATATGAGGTGGCCCGATGGACTTAAGCTACGGTGTCGACAAAAGTCTGCTCCTTCGCAATATAAACCACTCCCCTATAATTATGTGTATAAAAGCAGGCTATTTTGCGCGCGCGACGCCAGTTATGTGTTAATTAATTACAGGCATAACAACCAGTTTTTGGTGCTTGACGACTGTTATTACGCAGGTTTTCATAGGGTTACAGTTTACTCTAATTCATTAATATAGCATATTACTATTAGTCATCTGATCGGATCAATCATCAATATACATACATACATGGTAAGGTCTCCTCCTAGTCGTTGGAGTGGCCTGCATCACACACATCGCGTTGGCGGCGTAACATATGTCTCCACTGTACTCGGTTGGTAGCCAAGGCTTCTGTTGTGTTGTTGTCGAAGTTTTCAACACCTGTAAACTTAGCAGCATCTTCGAGTACGCAGGTCTTCCAGTTCTTACGGGGTCTGCCCCTTGACCTCTTTCCATAATTTTGCTTCCAGTTCAACAGAAACCTCGGTAGTCTAGAGTCTGGCATTCTAACTACATGTCCATACCAACGTAGCCTGGCAGCACTGATGAAAGTTTCAACTGACTTGATGCCAGCCGTCCTAAGAACTTCTTCGTTGGAAACATGGAAGAACCATTTAATCCTAAGGATCCTTCTCAAGGAGGTCTGATGGAAAACCTCGAAGCGTTTTATCTGCTTTTTGTTGGTGTTCCAGACTTCAGCTCCATACAACAAGATGGTGAGGACAGCAGCCTTATAGATCCTGATCTTGGTTGGAGTCTTTATAGTTCTGCTATTCCAAATGTTCCAGAGCTGATGAAAGGCGCCATTAGCCTTCTGGATACGGACATCCAGGTCTCTGTCGATTGTCCCATCCCCACTGATAGTTGCACACAGGTAGACAAAGTTGCTAACCTGCTCAACGGGTTCACCCTCAACCGACAGCTCAATACAATCATCCTTGATGAAAGGTCGCTGGGAGGCGCATGGCACTTGCTTACAGCCATGCATTGGGTCTTCTTTGCATTTATTCTGAGCCCAGCGTAGGAGCACTAATGAACTAATAGATCAGTTGACTCCTGTAGGCCTTCCCCTGAGTTGTCCATAATAGCCATGTCATCAGCATAATCGGTGTCCAGAATGACCTTTTCCTCGACCGTCTTCATCTCCTTCTGCAGCACTGCGCCTTGACTGATGGTCTTGTTGGTCTCAGCCAGAAATGCAGAAAAGTTTAGGCAGAAATTAAAGACAGGAAAAATTGGCCTACATCTGACTGGATATTCATAAAGCAGTCTATATTTGCATTCACTTACTCTTGTTGTTGCTGTTGTACGTGTTGAATACCTGTCTAATGAAAAAAAAATCATGTTGATATCTATTTTGGTTGATTTTTCATTTACCCTCAAATTTTAGACCCACTTTTTAACAAAATAATATAACTCAATAGGGTTTCAATATTTTTTAATGAAATTTTCAGAATCAACGTAGAATTGCCTGAGGACTTTAAGTTGTGGAGTAGAATTTTGAGTCAGGCCTTTTAAACAAATTTAGCGGCCAAATTCTAAAATTTTCAGGGTATTTTTGGAAAAAATCAATTTTTTGATTTCTCATTTTCAGCCCTTCTGGTATATTTTGAGGTCTTCTAAGTGCTTTTAAACGTCTTTTTGGGCGAAAATACTCCAGGAAACATATCCTGAGACAACAAAATGACCTAAGGTGCTTGAATGTCACCCTGACCTGTGCCTGAGTTAACATCAAACCAGTCTGTCAGCTCCCCATTAACCCTCACGGCACTCATGGTACCCCCAAAAAATGACTGAAATATTCTGACATATTTTTCAGGCAGCCCATAGTGTCTCATACTGCACCAAATAAAGTCCCTTCTGATAGAATCGAACGCTGCCTTGAAATCGACAAACTTAATGAAAAGAGGAATGTTAAACTCAAGACAGTTATGAATAATAGTTCGGAGAGAATAAATCTGATCAATACATGAGCGGTTCTGTCTAAATCCGCACTGATTCTCCCTGAGAAGACACTTCATACCAGCATGTAACCGCTTAAGAAGAATTATCTGAAAAAGCTTGGATGCTGTAGACCTTAAAGTGATCCCTCTGTTGTTCCCGCAGACTGAAGTGTCTCCTTTCTTCCCAATAACAATGATCACACCCTTTAACCAATCTTCAGGAACAGTCTCTTCTTCCCACACTTTCTTGAATAGACACTATAGTTGATCAACTAGAGCACTCCCACCATACTGCAGTTGCTCGTTAGTTATCCCGTCCACGCCTGGGCTTTTGTGGTTCTTAAGCTTTGTCAGGGAATAACTAATCTCGTCTCTGGTGTAGTGGGTGGTCCATCCGAACAAGATAAGTGTTAGTTTAGTGAAACAAGCTTTATAAATTACTGAGTGATAAAATTCAGCAAGTCTTAACAAATTAAATTATGATATCAGCTGATAAACTCGTGAGTCGTGGCTGATTATTTAACAGTTGATTGACACTGAATGGTAAAAAGCGAATACATATTTGAGAACAGATTTTACTTTGCATTTACATTCAAGAAGCAACTAAGATCAAGACTGCGGTGTTGGGTATGCTTTAAAAAAATCCTATATAGTCGATGGTGCTGTTGATGTGTCGAGTAAGCATCAAAATGTATTAGTTTAGGTTAGATGCAAATAATAACTAAGATGAGACAGAATATCTTATTACAGTCAATAAAGTTGGCATACGATGTAATAATATGACGTGCACATGATACGCATCGTTAACACGAAACAAACCGCGCAAAATATGAAATGATCTACAACCAAACCACATATTATACAGATCGACGGCGCACCTCAGATGCGCGCAGAATTTTTCAAGTTCTGCACGCATAATATAATTAAATATAATGTAAACAATTATCATGTGCGCCAAACACAATAAACTCAATAAAGTTGAACAATTACATTGTAAGCAGTAGGGAAATGTCGTGCGTGGTGTTACCGCGACGAAATTCTTGTTTACATTGTTTTGAATTGTTTCCAGAACTTTGCCAGATTCGATACCGCGTTAAGTTGGCTAAAGTATTTGTTACTATTTTTGTTGACAGGTAAGGGCTTTAATAAGTTTTCGGCAAACGTATTAATCTAGCTCGACACGTACTGTAGTTCGACACGTACTGTACTTGTAGTTCGACACGAACTGTACAAATGAATTTGTATAAATGTTTGAATCAACAGAAGGAGAAAAGTTGAGATTAAAAGTTAATGACCTGTTGTCGTGAAAATAATTGAAAGCAGAGAGGTTGCACGGTCACATGAACTTCACGTTTGAAGTCACCAAGTGTGCGTCCGTTCAGTACGTGTGCAATTTATTGTTGGGTATATTTATTTGTCTTGGGTAGTAACATTCCTGTCCAATTTTCACAAATAATTAATGTCCATTTCGCTGTTAACATTCAGTGACCTTAATAAGATTATCGAGGTCACTGAATGTCAAAACCACTAACGTGTAAATAGCTTTGTAACCTAAAGTACCCAGGTTAATGAGCAATATAAATGTTCAACGAATAATAAAGCTAAAATTATATATTTCCAGAAGCAGCACGAGCAAGATGTCTCTGCATCTCTTCCTGCTTCTTCTCCCTGGCACGTCTGTTCTGAAACCAGGTTCGTAGAGAAGGATGGGGAATGTCAATCTGCTCAGCTAACTCCTCCCTCTCTTCCCTGCTGATCAAGGAACACTTCTGGAACCGTTCCTCTAGGATCTCCAGCTGGGTTACAGAGTACTTGGTTCGAGGGTAAGTGTAGGGTTTGTCGATAGAAGTCTGGCGGGTTCTGTAGGAGGAATACCTGCGTGGTCTGGTTGTGGTGCTCTCTAGAGAAACCTGGCGGGGTCTGGTTGTAGGGTTCTCTAAGGAATGTTGGCGGGGTCTTGTGTTGTCTGGATAAGCTGACGGGTAGGAGATGGTATAGTGTCCCTGGTCCATATGAGTCCAGTTAGGCGTAGAGAGGTTTGGTTGCCATATTCCTGCTCCAAGGAATCGAGGCTGTGGGTAGTGGTTAATCATAATAGAGGGAATGGGCTCTTTACTAGGGCTGCATGTTTCATCCATTAGAGGAAGATTAAGGGAGGGTTCTGCAGTAGGGACAGGTAAGCTTAGGGTTCTGAAGTCAGGAGAGGTTTTGGAGAAAGGGCTGATGTTGAGACTTGTAGAGTAAACAGAGGTAGGTATAACGAGTCTTTGAGAGAAGGAGGGAAGTTCATGAGAACATAGTGCTGGGAAGTTAGTTTGCTCCATTAGGTAATAGTTTAGAGTTGAGGACAAAACGAAGTGATGAAAAGTATCTATTGATTCAGTTTTTAAACAAGAATGATTAGGTCTAACGAGCGTGTTAATGGGGAAGGTATTGTTATCGGATGTAAATGTCGAGAGATCAGATCACATAGTGTGCGATCAGGTATTACGAGATCAAATCTCATGTATGTAACTTGACCTGCTATCTCAAGATCTTGTCTTCCGGTATACGGTACATCGTAATGGTTCAGGTCCCTAGTCTCCTCACTCCTCAGGTCTCTAAGCTAATATATCTGTGCATGTTAGATCACATACGCGTGATTAAAACTCAAAGAAAACAGGAATAATTTACTGAAATTAATTAGTTGATGAACATATTGCTCAGAATTAGAACCTTAAGCAGTTGCATCATCTCAATAACACCAATCAAATCTGATTCCGCAAATAATTAATCTTTCGTTTTCACTCATATTCAGAATTCTGAGGAAAGCAAATAACTTGTAACATTTATCAGAGCCTGGCAAAACCTTTTAATGTTCTAATAGATAACCATACGGCGAGCGTAACCTCTAAATTATATTATCTAATTGCTGTTTTAAGAATAAAGATGAAAGAGGATCTCCAGACTTATGATGCAGTGAGAGGAGAAGACCACAATTACCTAGCCCCTCCGGCTTCATCAGTGGATATCGGGTGGACTCCAAAAATGAATTACAAAGAAATTGCACTTTTTGCAAAGGACTGGCTAAAACTGGTTAAGTGGGTGTGGGTATAATGTTTTTTGTTATCCTTGATTAAGACTTAAGTAGAGGACTATAACAGTTAACACTCGCATCAAGTGAAGCCATGATAGAAACATTTGTCTTAAAGACATTTCCATTTAAGTTCGGTATGTCTCGTTGTGATTAGTGGCATTTTAGTTCGAGATAGCTTAGGACTTCATAAGTTTTAAAAATGTTGAAGCTTGATTCTGTTTGTATTACTATTTTTTTTGAAAAACGTGCAAAACGTGCCTTTACTTGTAAAATATTGCACCGGAATAATTAAATAGATATATACGATGAATCATGCATGTCGCATGAACTGTACGTGAATACTGTACGTGACGTTTGATCTCGAGACCACCAAGTATATTTATAATTGAAAGAATTTTTCCAATCGATATCAATGATGATCTTACCTGGCAATTAACCTTTCTGAAACTTCTCTCATCGGGGGTTGTTTTTCTTAATCGCTTCGATGATAGACAATCACGATATCGTAAACTGTTGTTCCGTGAATATAGGCGGTTATTGAGCTTTTCAGGATGAATGACCGCTTGGAAACTGAGATTTTTTATCGGAAAGGTTTTTCGTTGATTCGGTTAGACCCCGGTAAGAGTAGGACGGCTATCTCTGCCTGGCACCAGCCATTATTTCACAGACGGAAGATAAAGTAGCGATCATTACCAACCATCGTTTCACATATAATGGTAATTGCTTGTAGCAATCGCTTTGCTACACGGAGGCCGCGAAGAAAGGGGTTGCAACGTGTGTCAACAAGATCGCTACAAACCATTATTTCAGTTTCACTCTGACCAGCGATCTGCGCCCGTCGTCAGGGTGGCGATTAAAAATGGAGACCTATCAGTATTCGTGTAGTTGCATATACCGATACGAAAGGCCCTGAGGGTAACGTGGAAGTTATGTAGATCAATGTATTTTTGGACGCTGATTCCGAATAACTCCCATAAAAATGCTTCCCTTAACCGGTCTTAGGAGTTAACATGTGCTAAAAACATTTTTGGTTACGTAACATGCCAGTTAAATGCAAATTGGACTGTTTATGGTTACGGTTCGGGTTACTGTTATGTTAGGCTTACCATTACTATTTATAGCGTTAGACTTAGAGTTAGAGTTGCGGTAAGGGTTAGGGTTCAGGTACAGCCGAAAATTATT